TTTATGCTGAGATGTAATGTGTACTGAAGGCTGTAGTCTTTGAATTTCAAGACTTCTTCACTTTCAGAAAGTAAGGTGGTGTCATCTGCATACCACAGGTTGTTAATAAAATAAGTCTTTGTCCGATCCTGATGTCTCATTTTTCTTCATATAGTCTAGCTTCCTGGATAACTTGCTCAGCATACAGATTGAATAAATGTGAAAGGATACAAAAGTGATGCACACCTTTCCTGATTTGAAACCATGTAATATCGCCTTCTTCTGTTTGAATAATTGCTTCTTAGTCTATGTAAAGATTTCTCATGAGCACAATAGAAGTGTTCTGGGATTTTCATTCTTCTCAGTGTTATCCATAATTTGTCATAATCCATGCCTTTGCTTAGTCCATAAAACATAGGTAACTATCTTACTTATTCTTTGTTTTCAACCAATGTCCATCTGACATCAGCTATTATATCCTTTATTCCACACTCTCTTCTGACTCTAGCTTGAATTTCTGGTAATTCCTTGCCAACATACTGCTACAATTGTTTTTGAATTATCTTCAGCAACATTTTACTTGTATATAATAATAATGATTTTGTTAAATAATTTCCACATCCTTATGGATTACCTTTATTTGGAATGGGCACAAACGTGGATCTCTTCTAGTCAGGTGGCTAGGGAGCTGTCTTCCAAATTTCTTGGTGTAATCAAGTGAGTGCCTCCAGCGCTGAATCCATTTGTTCCTTTGGATGAAATTGAAATATCTCAATGGTATTCTGTCAGTTTCTGGAGATCTTTTTCATAGTTTTTCACCAATTCCTTCAGTGAAGCTTGGACTTCTTCCTTCAATACCATTGGTTCTTGATCATATGCTGCTTCCTGAAATGCTTTAACATTGACCAGTTCTTTTGAGAACAGTGATTTTGTATTCCTTCCATCTTCTTTTGACATTTCCCACATCATTCAATCATTTACCCATAGAGTCCTTCAATACTGCAAATTGAGGCGTGAATTTTTTCTTTAGTTCTTTCAGTTTGAGAAATGCCAAGCTTGTTCTTTCCCTTTAATTTTCAAACTCCAGTTCTTTGTACATTTCATTAAAATGCTTTATTTTGTCCTCTTGAGCTGACCTTTGAAATTATCTGTTTAGCTCTTCATTTCTTCCACTCAGCTATTATGTTCAAGAGCAAGTTTCAGAGCCTTGTCTGACATCCATTTTAGTCTTCTCTTCCTTTCTTGTCTTTTTAATGACTTTTTGCTTTCTTCATATATAATATCCTTGAGCTCTCATGGTGCAGTGCCTATGGCATTTGACTGCTAACCAAAAGGCTGGTGGTTCAAACTTGCCAGCTGCTCCACAGAACAAAGATGGGGAAATCTACTTCTATAAAGATTTACCACCATGGAAACCCAATGGGGGTCACTGTAAGTTGGAATAGACTTGATGACAGTGGGCTTGATTTTTTCAGAACATCTTTGATGTCTTCCCACAACTTGCATGGTCTTTGGTCACTGGGATTCAATGGAGCAAATCTTTTCTTCAGATGGTCTCTAAATTCAGGTGGGATATATCAAGGTCATATTTTGGCTTTCTTGGACTTGTTTTAATTTTCTTCAGCTTGACCTTAAACTTGCATATGAGCAATTGATGATCTGTTCCATAGTCAGCCTCTGCCTTGTTCTGACTGATGATATTGAGCTTCTCCAATTTGTCTTTCCACTAATGCAGTAAATTTGATTCCTATTTATTCCATCTGGTGAAGTCCACATATATAGTTTCTGTTTATGTTGTTTTAAAAAGGTATTTGCATAAGCCATGGAAAATTCTATCAGGCAATCTTTGGCATCATTTCTTTCACCAAGTCTGTATTTTCAAACTAGCTTCCGCTTCTGCTTCATTTCCAACTTTTGCATTCCAGTAACCAGTAATTATCAATACATCTTGATTGCATGTAATCATCAATTTTAGATTTCAGAATTTAGTAAAACTGTTCCATTTCTTCTTTTTTGGTTTTAGTGGTTGGTGCGTAAATTTGAGTAATCGTAGTATTAACTGGTCTTTCTTGTAGGCATATGATATTATTCTTTCACTGACAACACTCTACTTCAGTAAAGATCTTGAAATGTTCTTTTTGAAGATGAATATGACACCATTTCCCTAATTAGTCATTCCCAGGATAGTAGACTGTATGATTTATTGAAAATGGCCAATACTGGTCCATTTCAGCCCACTAATGTCTAGGATAGGAGCTCTGGTAGCATAGTGCCTAAGGCACTTGACTGCTAACCAGAAGGCTGGCGGTTCAAACCCACCAGCCACTCCTCAGAAGGAAG